TTGAAACATAATAAAATTCTGTACTTTTAAAACGCGTTTCTATAGAGTAAAACAATTTTAAATCAATGGTAATTTAAATAAATAAAAATAATAAACTAAAAATTAAAATCAATAGATAAAATTTCTTTTTCGTGCAAATCCATAAAAAGTTTGATATTAAAATTATATTTGATTTTAAAATTATATTATACGATTATATTATAAAATTATATTATAATATTCTTCCGAATTTAAAAATAAATTAATGTCCATAACTTTCAAAATTAAAAATAATTAAATAAATAACAACAATTTCGCAAAAACTTTAAAGAACATAAGAATATTATTCAATAAAATTTAGGTTACTTTGAATTTTCGATTTCCTAGAAATGTACTTTTAAATTTTTACTTTTTTTGTTTAGTACTTGGACTTTTACTTTTTACTCGTTACTTTTTTTAAAAATACTTGTACTTTTACTAATTACTTTTTAAAAGTAACGTTGCCATATATGATTAAATGTCAGCTCTAACTTCTTGTAAATTAATTACGTAATCAATAATTTGTTGGTAAATTATTGCTAGGTAAATCAATTGTTTATTATGCTAATCAATGATTCTATTGTAATTCATTTTTGTAATTTTGTAATGTAATTATTTACTTATTTATAAATTCGTAATACGCAATACAAAATAATGTATGAGTGTGTTTTGTTTCGATTTTCGAATTTTAAACAGCATTTTTGTAAAAAAAATTCTTTTTAATTTTATAATTTTCTTACATGACTAACATTACACCATTATTTTAATTATTTTTAAAAATGATGAAAACAGTCTGCTGAAAATTAAGATTATTGCTTTAGTTCAAATGCTTTATATTTTTGTTTTTAATTGTTCAATTATGCTTAAAATAATGATTAATAATAAATAAAGAGTACCTAAGTGTTCAGAACACATATTTATGTTAGCTTCTTTCTGGATACCATTTACAAAAATTAAAATTATTGATTCACGTTAAACTATAACATGGTAAAATTGCGTAAGTGACAAATTAGACCACATTATTGCTTATTTTTATATTCTTGCTTGCACGATTGTTAGGAATAACAATGTATCTAACATTACTAACATATTAATATATGTATTTAAAAACGAGGCAAAATATTTTAAACAGTGGAACTCAATTTACCTCGATATCAATAACAACTCCACCAGCTACTGTTTTTCTCTTTCTCAGTTCTGTAATAAGTTCCACGAATTCTTCTTTTAGTTCTTCCATGCGATGATTTAGAGCTTTCTGGTAGAGTGGTGCCGGGGCGTATTCCGGAGGATGGATATAGCCTGGCATCGACATCATCTCCAGCTTCCGTGTGATTTCGTGTAGTTCATCTTGTACTGCGTGCAATTTGCTATTGATCTATGTAAAAATGAATTTCAATTTTGTAGTAAGCGTTGAGAGCCATTCTCGAATTGAAAACCGGAGAGTAACACATTCTATAGCTTACATGATAAGTGGTTTTTATTGTTTGAAAGCTTTTAAAAAGCATATGACGCTTCATACTCAATTTTCTTTAAACTTTTTTAATATTGTGTTGAAATGTAAGTGTATTTACAGTTTGCGTTTTTAAATTTAATAACGCAAAATGAAACGTTTTCAGCGCCGTAAAGTTAATATTAAAATCTGGCTTAAAAACTGGTTGATATTAAAAACTGGTTTTCCAAGACTGTAACGAGAAAAAAAGATTTATAAACTGAAGACAGATTAATAAAAGTTCCATTAAATTTACTGACACATAATAAATCTCATTAACATGGTTTTTCCCCCCAATTTTTATGAGAGATGTTTTAGTTGTGTTATTAGTTAGCTTTTGGTAGCATTCATAATTTATATCCAAATTCAAAATCACGCTAAATTGAAATAGTCTTGCAATAAATGATGATTTAATAATAATGACGACAGCAGTGTTTTACCACTTAGAGTGCTTGTTCATAAAGCGAAGTCATAGTTTTCGGTAGAAAATGCTCAAAACAGCTAAATATTTTTAAATCTACAATGAATAGTTCTGCATGATTTTAAAAACTTCTTTATTGTAAATATTTTTATTTACTAAATCTCACTAAACTGTAATTTAGGTCAAGTCATAGGCTATTTATGTCATTCATCCAATAAATCCAACAGGAGTATTTTTTCAACTGAGAGAGAAAGATATGCGTAATTGTCACCTGGTTTATACAATACATCATATGTTTTCTGAAACGAATGCTTTCAATAGTTCATCATCCTTAAATTTGTAATTATTAATACTGCATGTTTCATTTAAGATACATTCAATTTACTAGCAAGAGGTACAAACGATATAAGCATTCGCATGCATTCTTGTAAAAAATAATTTTTTAATTAGCTTTGACCTTGTTTATAAAAAAAATCTATCACCGTAAGTACAACCATAGAATTTTGCAGTAAAGGTTCTGGAATATTTAAATCAAAATGTAAATTGTTGGCCACTTAATATTAGATAGAAGCAGCATTAAAATAACTCAATATAAACTAAATATTGCTTCCTTGAATGAATATCTTGATATTTATCTCCTTTAGACTCCAGATAGCCATATTTTTCAACGATTACTATTTTTTATTTTGTTATTAGTTTAGATTAATTTCTGCCAAAAACGTTTGAATACCAATCGCTACCTAATTTCAGTTCCTTTTTCTTCTCTATCCTTACAACAAAATACTTGTTAGCATATAAGAATTTCTTAGTGGTAACAAATGTTGCAGTGTTAGTTTTGAAGTGTCTTAATGGCAGCAAGTGCAAGTAAATATGGATTTCTTGTTACTGATTGCACCTACTAAAACAAAATATTAAAAACATAATAACACTATTTAATCAATCTTTTAAGTGACGAAGCAGTGAACGACTGCTTGTTGCACGAAATGGAAACAATGGAAATTTGATAAGTTACGAAGCTAATACGTTAACTTGAAAAACCAGTAAATTATATGAGATAATGATCCGAATTGATTTGAGTAGAAAGCTTTTTGCTGAAATTAAATGCATCCAAAATTATACTGAAAATATTCCTGCTTTAACGAATGCTACTATTTCTGAAACTGAATAGAAAGCCAAATCATCAGCTGTGTGTTTAAGAGGTCAATTTTGTTCTTCAACGTGGAAATAACAAAATAGGTTACGCAAAATAGGTAAGAGCAAACATACCAAAGCTTAGCAGAAAAAAAGGGGTCTTACATCAATTTAAATGAAAAAAGAAGTTAAATTGCGATTACATATTGACCTGAAGAACAAGTAAATTGTACGAGACAATAAGTCCAATTGAAGTGAGAAGGAAGCTTTTGGTAAAATTGAATGCTCCCCAAGCTGTTAAAATAATTCTTCGTTTTGAAAGCAAAAATCTTGAAAGCATGTCACCTTGATCAAATGCTTTGACTTCTGAAACTAAATAGAAAGACCAGTCATCTGCTTTGTGCCTGAGGGATCGGTCCTGTTCGTCTACTCGAGAGGCAAAAAAGATGATCGCAAAAAATAACAAAGTCTGCACAGCAGAAGATGAACTATTTTCAATTGTGTAAATTAAATCTGAGTACAATCTATATCCGATAAGTTCTGCAAAGAAATTGAACAACAAAATAAAATAAAATCCGATGAGCCAAAATATTGGTAACGCCAGTGCTAATTCCGTTTCAATAAATATACTATGGACTTTCTTGTATAGAAAAATGAATTTTTCTACACGTCTTTCATTAAATCTGGAAGGAATAATTATAGTTTTTTCGCATTTTTTTATCATTTTGCTTAGCATATAAGACCAATAAGCGTAAAAAATGCTTAAGATTGAGGGTACAAAAGTAGATATGAGTCTTGAGGAAAGAAAATACCACAATGAACCTACTGCTTTGGTGGTATAACCAAAAGTTGCATTGAACCCAAACGTTATGGACAAAAACCAAGTGTCTGCCACAGTGTGATTGATAAAAAATAAAGTTGAAATAAAAGCATATAAAATTATAATAAATAGCAAGAATACAATGGTAGCAAAATTAGCAATACAATTATATTTTTTCATGAGATCTCCGTAAAATTGATTTAATGATTTGATTGTTTTAAATAGTTTATTAATTTCATTTCTTTTCATGCAGAGGGATACCCAGCAAACAAACATAAACATTCTCCAAAATAATAAACACATAACGGCTTTTTTGCTTTGAATGTCGTTAGGAAATATTAGCAAATCACTGGCGTATATTAAAATTGAATAAATTAAGAAGGACGGTACAAAGAAATATGACATCCCATGTAAAAACTTTTCCCATTTCATTTTGGAATTATTATCGAAGCATTTAATACCTAATAGGTACAGGAGATTCAAAAGGATGTTATATTCGTTTAAATTGTAGAAAATAAATATTTTTAATTTCAAAATGCTACATTTCATTTTGATCTCTTCAGTATTCTCAAAATATTTGTTTTCGTTCAATGTGACAGGAATTTTAATTAGTACCACCAGTCTTAATAAAGTCAACTTTTTACTGTCAGAATTAGTAGGTTTATTAATTTATGCAAACAATCATCAATTGTATCATTCTCGGCAGTTATCAAAAGCAAAATATGACAGCAACGTTACAAATGCGTACAATATGATCCAAAATTTTATAGTACTATTTGATTTAACGACAAATGTCCATTTTCAGTCAAAACAAATGCATTTTCAATACGGATGAAATTGAAATTTTTATCTAAAATCAGTAAAACTCAATGTAGTCAAATTACAACTAAATTATTCTCTGAAAATATCATTAAAAAAGATAGAACAGTAATGAAAAAAATACACACCGAATACTACTCCAAACTTCTTTCACGTTAATTAGTTTCCTCAATACTAAATATTAGTTTTTAAATAAATATTCTTCTTTTATGTTTAAGTATTACTTTATGTAAGTAAGCAGCAATTGAATTACCCCTGCAATATTCGAAACCGAAATATATAAAAAATAATGTAAAGTTTATACATTTTTTTCTAAATATTTGGCTTCTTCTTTGGCCTATTTTCTAAATATTTGGCTTGATCAGCTATCAAGATTTTAAAATATGCAGTTCAATTAAGGGTGTTTTTCTATTTTTGGTACTTTTCTATGAACTTGTGATTTGATATAAGTACACAAGTTGGATTCAATTCTAACGATTTTATATGCATAGTTATAAAGAAGATTGATTTTAGATGAACCGAACCTTCTCCGTAATGTTTTGTTCAAAATTATCAAGAATGCTTCTTAATTTTCAATGTCCAATGTCCTCTATTATTATACGTTTTCGTCTTTAAGGTAACTTTGACTCAAAAAAGCAAAACACATGTAGATGAATCTAAGAGAACTCAAACTGATTTCTTGCAAAACTTTAAGAATCATTCGTAATTCTTAAAACACCAGTATCATGAAACATATAATCAATTTCAATTTTTATTGTTAAAATTATGCACCAATTTTAACTCGATAAAAGTAAAATATCAGTTCATTTCTCAAGAAATCGTTAACGATTAAGACTGACGATACGACTACGATTAGAACTAACTCATCACTGATTAGAAAGAGAATGTTGGAAAAGAATCTATAGAGGACTTAAAAAAGCTCATTTCTTACATAATATCGATTTGCTTCAGAGATGGCAATTAAATTTATTTCTTGTTTGCTACGCAATGCCTAAAAGTCAATAGTCATCCATTCAAATGTCAATTTTTAACAAATGAAAGTATATGCATAACTTAGATTGCATAGAAAAAGAAAATTAAAAGTTTGAGATGAAACTGGTTTTATATTTAAAATGCAAATAACATTTTTGCTTGTGTTTCATAGAAAAAAGTTAAACTGTTTTCTTTCTTTTGGACCTTATTAATTGTTGACATTTTACAGAAAAACAGTTATACCTTTATAGTTTACATCGACTTTTTATTAGGAAATTTAATTTATTTTATGTACTTACATTTATTTCTTAAAAAAGTCTCTGAAAGGAAAGGAAATGACTTTTTCCTTCTTTCTTAATTGTTGTGTCTGTTGTCATAACATTTCTTCGGGCATCAATCGAAAATCAATCATGCTTTTATAAAAAATTATTAGCAAAAAGTTAAAAATGAATTAAATTATTCATTTCGTAAAATTTTTTAATTTATTACTTACAGAAGCATTAAATCATATGCTTAAATTTGCAAACAAGAATCCTATCCAAATTCAAAAGGTTGAACTTATTAGATTGTTTATTAAAATAAAATCGATCAATATAAATACACTTGTTTTTTTTTAAGTATAAAAGTTATTTTTTTCACTTCAAAAATAATTTAGCTAAAAAAGAATCAAATTGGAAGCGGAAAGAATTTGGACTAACGAAGATTTATTTAAACATGTCTTTTACATAAAAAGTGACAAGAAAAATAAAATTTATCATTTTTAAATTTATTGACTTGATAGCTCTAGAACGATCTTTTCTTAAAACAGTCATCAATAAAAAAAAAGAAATAATTATTACCTCCTTAACAGATGGCTTGAATATCTCTTCTCTCCTCCGCTCAGCAGTAAACGAGCTCCTTCTCCTTTCCTGACCAGGGATTTTACGTTTTGCTATAATACTGTACATCCTGTCTAGCTGCAATGGTAATCGTAATTGAATAAAGTTACGTAAGTAGTCTAATTGAATAAAGTTACGTTGTTTAAACATACAATTGCAACACAATCTTTTACAAGTGCTAAGAAGAAGAAAGAAAATAACAGTAGCTGTCATAACTAAACGATGCATTTGCAGTTGATTAAAGTGGTAAAGTTAATTCTTGTACATTTTGCTTGTAGGATGTCCTTTAAAATGTTTCTTTATTAATATAAAGGATAACAAAAGTTACAGAAAAAATTTTATTAAATAAATTTGAAAGAAAAATAACAACAAAAAAAAATGTTTTTTTACCCTCTGATATCAACTGTGAGTTTACCAGGATGCAACTTAAACGCAAAAAGCTTCGTGGCTTGTCTTTCTAAAGATAGCTTTGTCACGAAAGATCAATACCTTAGCATTCCATTTTACCCAATATAAAACATGATTTCCTTTTTATGTAAATATTTTGCATGAAAAACTCGTTTTGAAGGAGACGGTGTAATTAGCAAACCTTAATAATGATTTGAGGAAGAATTAAAGGATTGATAATCTAGTATGCTATCACAGAATCTAACGTGAAATTTCACTGAAGATACTTTAGAACAGATGTTAGAAACTTAAATATTTTATCGTATGGGGAATGCAGTCTTCACCTAAGACTAATAGCCAAAATTTGATTCCCCGTACGGAAGCTGTTGTCTGATTCAATTGCACTTTCATCGATTGTATCTTTATAGTTAGGAATCAGCCATAATATTATGTTCCAGGAAGTACTAGAGAAGAAAAAGTCCATGCATGGTTGAGACAAATATAGAAAGGAGAAAAAGTACGGCTCTTAGAATACGTAACTAACGCAGGCACAACTTACAGAGTCAACAATATACTCAGATTTAGCAGAGTGTCATTTGTTTGAAGATCCAGCTCATACGCATAAGAAGCAAAGTGACTGTCAGGAGGTGCATCACCTGTGAACCGTTTGTAGGGCAAATCTAAATGTATGGTTGGGTATGGTACCTCTCACACAACCATTTCTTTTTATGTCAACATGAGTAAGCAGATGTAATCAACATGGGTGATATACATTTATTCCTAAGGGAAAATCTTCATTAAAAGTACAATAGCGTTATGTAATGCAGAACACACCAATAATAAATAGAAAGAGAAAACTTTTTTACTTATCCCTAACCACAGTAGTGATTGGGCGGAGAGCAGGGTTACAACCCGTTTCAAGAACTTCTGCTGCTGTTCCCCTAAATAATGTATTTTTCCTTTATACACAGGGATCGCACTAAATCACCTTGGGGGAATGGTTTACAATATATCTATCGAAGCAAGTCTTCTTCCCCTATGTATATTCTTTGGTTGAGTTTCGCATTAAGGAAATCGAGTGAATACGACCACCACCTGCTCTCCGTTTTAAATTGTAACAGTGTAGTGCATGCATTATTCCTAGTAATTATGAGTAAATTCTAAACCAACATAAAAGCCGCGATTAGTCATGGGCTAGTTAATAATCAAATCAAACAAACTTCACTTTTGTTTGGCATTGATCATATAAGAAAGGAAATTTTTTTGGATATGCAGTATTCGATGCATGATTTATCAGAACGAATTTAGAATACTTACATGCGTTGTAAAGCCTTTCACTAGAATCTTCGGCGACGCAATGGTGCCACTGTCTGCAGACACACCAACATAAAAATTTCCAGCGTAAGAAAATATACAGAAGGCCACAGGAACATCTGGATGTGAGTTCATCCAGAAAGTGACGGATTTGAGGCGGCAGGAAGCTAGCATCACTTGCCTCTCGGGACCAGGAAGGCTGCAAAAGGAAAGACTAGCATTCTTGAGGACGGTCCGCACCAGCCATTGGCACACGCAGGCAGGAAGAAGGGTCATCAAGTAGTGGATTGTGCTGTACATGACGACGGCATCACAGGAACCTTTTAATTCGTCCATGCACTGATGGACGTCCCAGAGACCAGGAATGGCGCCTTCAGTGTTGGTGGGTAGTTTGGCATTGACGACAGCAAAACCAGTACCAAGCTCTGGGTAGGACTCCATGGACGTAGGCTCATAACGTAGATCAAGTGGTATGTTTACCTAAGGGCATACATGATACTATATCTTTTTTTCTGAGCATACAAATTTTTGAAATATCTATTACTTAAATTATAGTATATGTCTAACAGTGCATGCTAGGATTATTAAGATTAATATGTAATTTTTAGTTATCGTTACAGTTATTTTATGTAAACATGGTGAGAACTTATTTATAATGTTATTTATCTAACTATAGCTTATTTTTTTAAATTAAAAATGACTAATATATGTGTATTCAATTTAATTGCACTAAATCCAGCACACAGAAACATACTTGATTCGAACAAAAACGTGAAGAAATTTTAAAAAATGAAAATATACATACAGTAAAAAATAAAATAATTTTGCAGCACCAACAAAACTAGAATGGATTTTGAGCAATTCGAGAACAATGGTATGTCTGAAGTATGCGCACGTTATTCGAAATATAAATTTAATTTGTTTATTACCCCACTAAACTCTATAGGACAAAAGGTCTGTTAACCCAAACATCCATTCATTCATCCTTTGGATATTGTTTAACTGCTAAGCTATCTCTTTCATAGAATAGGTACTTCAAGAGTATCACTTTGAAATCTTTTTCAGTGTCCGTCTATATCTCCAATAGATTCGTTGATTTTTAACTCTCTTTCAGCCAATTAATTCTCTGTTAGAGAAATTTTACCAAGTCCCTTTTTAAAATTTCCAGTCTAATTTAGTTTTTATTTCATTTAATAGTATTTTTTAACTTTTGAAATTTTTTTTTGACATTTCTTTACTAACTACGACAGATGCATTGCAATATGAAAAAAAGGGCAAGTAGCATGTAAGTGGTCATGAGATGCTTGCTTTGTATCGTGTTTTAAATCAATGCTTGTGTTAAAATCAAATTTACACTCTAACTAAAATGTCTGGGTCTTTTTGACTTGATTATATGGTATGCAAATAAGGTGTATTACGTAGTGTAAATATAAATAAGTCATTCTTACAATAGAATTAGCCGAAAATATAAAGAGGGTTACTGCATAGAATTTTTGTGTCTGTAATGTTCCTCGTGTTCCTTTGTGAGATAATCCAAATGTATAAGGTTTTTTGCTTGTAGGATGAAATTGCATCAGAATGAATTTTATAATCTATGGAATTATTAAAATCTCAAGAACAACTGAAGCAGTTTGAGTAGTTTTTTAACAAAACTAAACCTTTACAACTTATTAATTATTTATCTTATTTATTTAGGGTTTCAACTAAATCGAAACGCCAAAAATATCAATAAAAAAAGTTAGAAATAGCAATTTTTATTCATAACAATCTTTATATAACCTATGACCTAATTAGTTGAGTTTTGTTTTATTCAATTCAGTGTGAAACTTACATATTAAACAATACTTCACTTTTCCAAATATCATTATCAAAGAGATAAATAGCTAAAAGTCCAAAATAGCAAAATGCATTTTCATGCATAAAACCATTCTACATTTTATATAGTTAGTCCTATCGTCGGAAACTTGACCTCACTGGATTTAGTAAATACACCGTAAACAGTATCTCAGCTGTCTATTGACTAATGTTTAATCTTTTCCCAATTTTTACCCCTTTTCCCTCCTCAAATCAAAACTCGAAGCATCGGGTCGTGCAACTTTTGTTTCTTATAAGAGAAGAGTACTTGACAGTTAGCTGATTGATAGCGGGAAAAAAAATTCCGATTTGGTTGAAGCCCTATTTTTACTTTGTAAAAAATGAAGTCTTGATTTTACGCACTATACAAACATTTCATTAGACATTTATGAAAAAAGTAAATACTTTTCAGTGCCATCAGTTGCATTTTGAAAATAAATAAAATTAGCAATGTTTTGTGGCTTTCTTGGCCAAGTGGTCTCGCCGTTCAACAATAGCTTGGAGATAGCAAGTTCGAATCACATCAGGAAACTCAATGTATATTTGTGATATACTTCTACAACTTCTGATTTTTTTTTAATTAGACAAAAGCTTATAAGCCGTATTTTGTAATAAAAACATAAGCCTGAGTGTGTGGGTGTAACAATATATAAAAATAAATAACGTGACTTGAAAAAAAAATAAGCTAATCACTGCAATGTTATCAGAAAAGCAATATAATTTGAATTAAATTATATCGTATTCAAATAGTTCCAAGTTTTATTACTCTGTGGCTTTTAAATGCGTTCTTCGCTGTTCTTCGCTGGCAATATGAAACTTTGACTACTTTCCACATCACTATGAGGAAGGCGGTGAAATTTTAGCTGCAGATGCATTTATTGTACCACAGAATACTGAATTTTTGCAAAACAAACTTAGCATTAGGTTGCTCAACAGCAATCAGGAAAAAACAAGACGTTCTGTCTATTTTTTTAACAAAAAGTTGCAGTCCTCTTGTGGTGGAAATTGGAACTATTTACCCCATTTAAATTTTTTTTTTAATTTTTTTTCTTTTCTAATAAGAATGCAGCAATGCCTTTTCTTCCCTTGAAATTCTGTATAAAAATTTTACATTAAAAATGGGTCAGCCATTTAGTGGCCAGTGCTGAAATAATTTATAATAATTTTATAATTTATAATAAATTTATAATTTTTAATAAATTTATAATTTATAATAAATGTATAATTTATAATAAATTTTTAATTTATAATAAATTTTTAATTTATAATAAATTTTTAATTTATAATAAATTTGTAATTTATAATTCATAATTTATAATTAATTAATAATTAAGCTTGCCTTGTGCGTTAAAATAACATTAAAAATCAAAATAATAAAAAATAAAAAATGAAGGCAACATAAGTATCCATAATCACAAATCTAGTATATTTCACATAAACCACTAAATTTTAAAAAAAATCAACATTTCACTTCCATTTATGAAGCGCGCTATAAAATAATTTATTCAAACGAAAGATTCATGAAATCGGTACATGCCAAGGTGTCAGGAGTATTTCGTAGAGAGACGGTTAACCAAAGAGAAGTTTTTATTTCAAGGAAATCTTCACGCTAATGCGAGTTTTGCCAGACGAAATCCCATTAAATGTTAATTTTCTATGCACCTACCTCTAAAAATTTCCCATTCGCTGATTCAGATTTCCGAGAAACCCTGCACTTAATGGAAAAGTTTAGAAAGCCATTAAAAAGAAGGAAACTGCATATGATGATCGTTTGAAATAGAATTTGGAGTCATAAAATGAAATATTAAGCAGGTTTTGGCTTTCTCACAAGCTATAAAATATTTGCATCTTTAAAACTTATTTACACAATCTTTTCCCGTTTGAATTTGCAAATTTGAAATACTTCTGTAATTGGACTATGTCTTGGACTATAGTTAGTACTGAATATTATATTTTTCAATTTTTGTCCACAAATTGTGTCCCATTTTTCTTTCATTTTTGTAAAAATAAGGTATACCTTTTCCCCCATAGCTTTTTCTTAATTATTTGTCTTTAAAAGAATGTATTTTTTTGAAATATTTTTTTTCGAGTTCAAATTGTTAAAAGTTTATGCACTGGTAAAAAAAAAATTAGAAAGCGTCCAAGTAATTACAATTTTTGCAAAAAAAGAAAATCGCAATTTAGTACTAATATTTGGAAATTTTGTAAATTACTGTTTTGTTTTTCGATTTGAATGTTTAAGAAAATATTTTTTATCGTCAACTCGCCTTCCACTTACATGATATAGTATTTCCTTTATAGTCCTCTCAACTTATAGGTTAGAGCCACATTACTGTGTTGAACTTTGGTTTTGTTCATGTTTTTTCCTTAAATGTAGCCACCCAGTAGATAAGTTAGATAGATTCCTCTCCTTGTACTAACCTTCCGCTTGTTCAATTGATTTTATATTTACTTTAAAATCTGGAAAAATCAGTGCATGGTTCTAATTTAGGAAACAATGTGCATTGGCCAGATAATTTTGACCCACTCTGACTCTTTAACATAAAAGGTAATGCGAGCATATTCCATTATTTTCCTTGGTTTATCTCAAAAGAATGAATCCCATTTTATTTGTGAGATTAATATGCACTGTAATCAAATAAATCCTCAACCAAGTTCTTCACGAAAGAGAATGTTTTCCAAACCTTGCAGGTGAATTCCTTCGTTTTTTAGGTTGAATTAGAAATATAACATATACTCGGAGGTTTATTTCGTTGTTCTTGAAAAGTCTAAATCAAATAATGCTTTGGAACTATATTCGATTTTCACAGCAATAAAATGAAATAAATCATAAATAAGTGCTACAAAACTTTTTCAGAAGAAAAAATATCTGGATTTACCTTTAAAGTACAACTAACTATTAGTTTTACAGTAAAGGTAAGATAGAGTTGGTGCTTTCGCCTGTCTGCCGGAACCTTTTTCGCTAAATTCTGAAATTTAGATAATGGATGCGTGGAGCAATTTCAACACCCAATTTCGTAAATTGTTGAAAAATTTCAATTAGTTTGCTCGCGAAAGCTATGTGAATAATGAAGTTTTTCTATACGTTTAACATTATACATTGATGCATACAAGTTTTAGACAATTTTGTTATACAGTTCTTAAAAGATAACTCCAGTAGCAGCTTAATGGGATCGTATTTCACTGGAAGTTTGTTGCACTTTCTTTAAAATAATTATTTTTGATTCATTACATCACGTAAGATTAAGTATAATTAACATATGGAAATGAAATTACCATTAATATTATAAAAGTTGACTTAAACTACGTGTATATTTTTGTTTACAGTTATACTTTTGCAACGTATTCCTATTAACCTAAATAACTTGAAGTCAGCAGTAAAAAGTAAATACAAAATTGTAAATAAAAATATACATTGCTCTATATTTACGATATATTGCTCTATCGTAACGATGTATTGCTCTATCGTAACGATGTATTGCTCTATCGTTATAAATTTTGACTATTTATGTAGCCTGAGCTTAATAGCAATAAATTTGGCTTCAAATCATACTAAGTATAGTAAATCAGGTTTTTTTTTCATTTTTTTTTTTAAGATTTGAATTTTCAAAAACCTTTTCTTATAT